AAAATGCAAATATTTACTGAAACAACAATTTCGATTTTCTATTTTCCATGAACATTTTTCACTTGGAGCAGTTATTCACACATAATCTCTCACACAATATTACTGTCCATCAACAACAGTGAAAAAAATATTTTGTCACACAACAGCTCCTTTAACAGCTCTTTTCACGGAATCAAAACAGAGCAAGATAAAATTATAAAGTGCACATCTAAGGTAAACTAGTATTCAGCCTATAGTGGATTTAAGCCATGGTTGCATATTTCGTTTTTCTCAAGTTTGCTTTGAACACAGCAGTCAGGCTATGTTGATTCTGTTGGTCCTTCTTGCTCGGAAATCTCTCTACGGTTTTGTGTAGACATCATTTCGGATGACTACACTTGGTTCGAGGCACAACACTGGAGACGTTTTCTTATTTTCAGCGTGGTCGCGACCACTGCACCGCTGAACTCTCGATGTGCCTCAGCGCGCCGTCACTGTCAGATGAACACAGAGAAGCTCCACCTCCTTTATTTATATGGACACAGAACACGGTCACCTTCCACACAAAATAGTTCCAAACAAGTAACAATCGTGTCAGTGGCCTACATCATACTCAACAGGCTACCTGCTCTTTATTCATCAGAGGCTCATCAACCTAGTCTCTTATTTCTCTCCCGAAACAGTGTCTTCTCCCGCTTGGTGTACCTTAGCCTTCTTCGCTACGTACAATTTATGTACATATGTAAGTTGAGGGGTTCGTTTTTAGTGGATAGCCCCACTTTACGAATGACAAAAGGCGAGATGGAATCGTTTAATGCAGCTTATTAAAAGGGAAAAAAAAACGTCTGCACCTCCGAACGGATGAATGAGAACACACCTCCTTCCGGTAACGAAAACACTTACTGCTTTTCTTCAGCCAATCAAATGCAAGCAACATAAGAATGTCTCAGCAATTATTAAACAGAATATAATTTTGGTAACTGTAACAAAGGAATATAATGCTCAAATATAAAATGATAATAATTAATAATTTAACATAAGCTTACACATAGCTTGTAATGGAGGCTCACGCTGGCAATCCGTAGTGGAGTCGTTCGATGCAATGCAAATGATTTCAGCTTGGGTCTAGCTGTGGACAATGTTGACAGGCTTGCATGCAGTAGCCATACATTTAGCTACAGCTTCAGCAAATTTGTTCTTCGTCGTGTTATCCATTTTCTTCGCTTTGAAATGATCCATAGCTGTCTGTCTTAGACGAGGGGGCGGAGTACTCACATCAGCTGTGTGCTTGGCCATTAAGTGGTATTTCAGACTCGACGTGCTATGATGATAGCTCAGTTTACGACTGCAAAACATCTAGGTAACTTTGGTCTTGTCATTGGAACTATCTGGCAACTTTTTAAAAGTAAACTTTCCATTCATAAACTCTTTATCCGTTTTCGGTGTCTCGCACTGCCGTGGCTGGCAAAACAGACATGGGCGTGGACCTGTGCAGCGCGCTTGTTGTTTTGTTTCCGGTTTATTTATAGAGCAACGCAACATCCGCTGTGACGTGTTGCTGCATTAATCTCGCGATAAAAAATTTAATCACGTTGAAATTGATTTAAATTAATGCCGATAATAACCCGCTAAACTGGCAGCTCTAATATATATACAGTAAATATTCCCATCCCCGGAATTCTATGAAAAGGAATATCCTTCACCCGGAACAAAAGCCTGTGCATTAACATTTTGACTACGATATTACATGTTACCGGAACTTACGTAAGCGGAAATTC